ACTTTCAGCATGGAGTACACATGGACACTGAAATTTAGTCTGTGTCGCGAAAAGGAGCAAAAATATGAAAGTATTAGTATAGTAGTATAATATTGAAAGGCTACACAGCGGCGCTGCCTGATCTTGATTAACCAGACTGTTTCAAAAGCTGGCAGGGCAAGGAGGAAGTGGTACCTGAAATGCCACGGGCAACCCCTTCTGAAGCTTCGCGTCTTTCGCGTTTCAAGAGGGACTTTTGGGTCAGGTGTGGAGCTCTTTCGAAAGGATTCAAAAGTTTAATGACAATGAAGAAGTCCTCTTGGTCTAGTAATATTATGACCTGCTCAAAAATTGCACAGTTTTCGGTGTGCTATAATTCATTATACTTGAGGGCATCACCGCGTTCATCTGATGTTCAGACGCATTCTACGGGTATGGTGGTCCACCACGCAAGCATAGAGAATGTACTACTTTCGCTTGATAGTGCGGTTGTTCCGCTACTGACTCTATCCATGCCGAGCGGTGAGAGTGAGCTGATGAGGAGCAGAGCACGCACCAACAAGACAGAATTCGTAGAAGCGAGTCTGAGCATGGAGCTCCATATGAGGCATTTCCTGCGTGCCTTTTTTTCTGTTTCTTTTTTCTTATTTTTTGTGTCATTTGACACATTGTAATTGGCATTTGAGCCACACAACTTACCATTTACGAACCGCCTTTGATTTCTGCGACTCTACCAGAACCCTGTCTCAGCGGTGTTTCCATTGTCAGTGTCCATGAGAGTCTGTCACGCACATTCACACTTGCATATGGGGTAGACGTGGATGCACTTCTCGTAGATCGCGGCACAGCTACGGTTTCGGAAGGATAGTGCCGATTTCGGACAACTGTATCATGAGTTTGTCCAGCAAAGACAACATGACAGCTGTCTCAAATGGAAACATGACAAGGAAAGCGCATCCAGTGCCGTGTCCAAATGACGAACGCAGCCACACCCTTCTCATCTACAGTATATGGAATGTAGTTAGCCGCGCCAAATCTATGGAACATGAACGTCTTGCGGTTCGCCGAATGTGACCCATGGATCCAAAGACAATTCCCGCGATCAAGTGTTACGGGTTGTAGTGCTCAATGTTGAACCAGTAGCCCATAATTACTCCACTGTAGAGAGAGAAGCGAAAAAAAGCCTCGGGAACACTCTGAACTGAGACCCTCGCAGCAGTGGGCCGGCGCCTAAGACGAGTTTGTCAGACGTCGACAAACCCCATTCAGTTAGATTCGATGTACAACCAATCCCCGGCAAGAGCACAGAAAATCACCCTACGACGCTCCAGGCAACGCTATGTACACACGCAATTCCGCTTGTAAGCCGTTGTCTTGCAGAGTGAAAGTAATCGTGGTTGCAATGGTTGCAATAATCACGCGTCTCTAGCTTCTTTATCTCGCCGTTTCGAGTGACGAAAGTGGTATATTCTCTGCGAATGCGGACAACGATGCCAAATGCACGGAGGCATTTCGCGGACCACTTGATCGCGGGAACTGTCTTTAGTGCGTTTGCATTCTACTGGTGTCAGTTACAGGGGTCATTTCCCAGACAGCTGTGTGTTAAACAAGCAAACTTTAAGTCAAATTGTGGATCAGAAAGACGAGGAGATGCGCCTCATGCTGGGAATTCCGTTAGAGGATAAATTTTTGGACCGTGCAGAATTTCTTGAACAGGTGTCACCTCCTCGAATCGGATTTGTGAGTGTGCATTTGGATACGCGCAGCTGAGCAGTACATGTTGCAATCAAGTAATTCCTAAATCACTCTGAAACCGCCATTTCGAAACGTTCTTATTTTAATCAGCCATCGATGTTCGGTTCCACTTGACATGTTTCCCCGAAGAGTGCGACAGTATCACTATCGGCTATGAGCTCTCACAGTGAACATTCCTTTTTGAAGGGTTACCATTGTCTGTAGCCTACCTGGGCGATGCTGTTTCCATTTTTTCGTTGACGTACAATATCTTGAAAATCGGCCAATCGTGACAGTACATGACATGAGGCAAGCAGTGGAATTGTGACTATAAGAAGAAGTGTGCGACCCATTCACATCCCCAACAGAGCTCGTCTCTAGAACCTGCTCTCTCTCTCAACAGGAATCCTGAAACAGATGGGTGCGGCGCCATCCATTGATGTGCGTCTGATATCGGTTGATGAAATGCTACGGGAAAAAATGGGGTCTAATCGAATGTGAACGACGCATTCACGTGGAAATAATGGTGGATATCAACAAATCGTGAACAAGTATCATATCACAACGGGCAGTGACGCTGATATGGAAGAGCCTTTGAGAAAAATGACGATAAGAAGTGAGAATGCTAGGGCGCATTTCGGACGCCACCTACCTCACCTGGTCAACCGATGGCACTCATAACCGGTAGCATAAAATCTATAGTGAAGGTTGCTTCAAAGGAAAGCTTCGCGATGACCTATGAAGATGCGGAAGATTATGTGGAAGATGTAGTGTGGTTCGCAATGTACAAACTTGTGTCAGTATCGTGCCGGAAAGTTCAAGGTGAAAGAGTTGTGGTACAGAGTTGCTCCAGTGACACCTCCCTTTTCCAGTGACTCCGTGACCCCGCCTCCGGACCCCGCCTTCAATGTCAGCCTTCTAGACAAAAGCGATGTTATCGGACAAGTAGCATGAAATGGATGCTACGAGTCATAGGTTCGTTACAAGGAACCAACCCAAAAAAACTCGCATCAACAAGCAGTTCTTTGGCCTTTCAACGGTATGACTGCTTCAGGCTGGAGGGGTCATATTAAAGCCGTTTCCGATATTCGCTCTGAAATCCTCTCTTAACAGGCTAGTCAGACGGCAACTTCTCTTCCACACTTCAAAGCCATTACCCAAGCTCCTCACCGCGGACCATGCTTTGAAACGCGGTCAGACAGCGTTCATACTTCGCGACAGCAGCGGCGATCGCGGCGACCTCGGCGATCGCCGCGATCGTCGGTACATGGCAGAGCGCGCCCAACGCTATTACTTGCGCTCCGAAGGCTTTTGGGAAGAAGCGACAATTTCATGCTTTTTTTCCTTTAACTGCAATTTTCTTAGGTACTGAAGCTTGGTTTGACACAAAAGAAAGGTGAACCCAACTTAATGGCTTTTGTTTTCTATTTTCTTTCTTGATTCAGGATAGAAATGAGCAAAAAGCGTGAGAGCTTCATTTAGGGTAGGTTTTTATTGTTTCTTTTTTCATTCGTCGAGCTTATACATGAGGTTATAAAGTTTTCACCTGTTGATGTTGCGTAAAATGATTAGTGTTTTGGTTCCTAGGTGAGTTTCTTTCTGTTTCTTTTTTTTCTTCGTTGTTTGAACTCGACTTGTGAACTATAAATGTTTTGGAAGTTGGAACAGTTCAGACGATAGGAATTTTAAGGCGCTTGCATAAATTGAAACAATAAAAACAAAAGAAACAAAAAGAAGCTCACCCAGGAAATGGAGTTGGCCTCATCCCGACCTAAAAAAGAAGTGAAACCTCCTTACCTCATATTCCAGATCCGCTTATGTATAGAAAGTCGTAAGTTATCAGTTAGTAGCCATTATTAAGAGAAAGACTCACAAGTTGGATTTCCTTATTTATCAAGCGAGCAGTCCATAATAGCGTTGGGGCGCGCTCTGCCACGTACCGACGATCGCGGCGATCGCCGAGGTCGCCGCGATCGCCGCTGCTGTCGCGAAGTATGAACGCTGCCTCAGAGTGCTCTTCGGCTGTGGCAGCATCGCCTTCAAACTCCTAAATGGGGCGTGATGAAAGCAAAGTGGATAGAACACACTGTAGCGCCGATGAAAAGTGGTCTTAATAGGACTCCTCCCCTCCAATATCCACGAGCTTAGTAAGAGGAGTAAGAAAAACCAACATCTGATCAACTGTCAGAAATGGTAGAGTTGCGGCACTATTTCAGCTCTGCTGTATGCTACAAGTAGAGCGCTTCAAACGGAAAAGATCAGTAGTCGAAAAAATCTCAAAAATTCGAATATAGCAACACCCTCTTTCTACACTTTACATCACCGCAATTGTCGGGTCGCAATCAGCGGCTCGCACCTGCGGCGTTTCCATCATTGGTTGCTCCCTCCCTAAATCGATCTTTACCCGATCGCCATTGGTAGAGCAACGAGGCCGAACATTTGGACCGCGTTGCACAGCCGCCCTTCCGACAGTCCGCAATGATGAGGACTGTACATCGTAGCCTAACACGACCTCTAAAGTCTCGTTGAGATTCTTTGTTGCTCCTAGATTGGCAAGCTGCATCATACAAAGGATGAAAGCCTATCGCTGTTGAGTGTGAGCACCACATCCATGTTTAGGCACAGCACCACAGTACTTGCATTTCACAACTACAGATCCTGCATCAATCCTGCGCCAAATTAATTAGGTCCTTGAGGCATGTCACAAGGCAATCGTAATTCGCCTCGCTGGTGGACGTGGCCAGCGATGTCGCCTGTGAAACAACTTGATGGTTCGCAGTGGGGTATATGATGTTCCTTTGTCAATTTTCCTCCCTGGAAGAATACCTGGGCAGGATCGGTCATGGACTAAAGACGTCAGCTTTCTTGCCATTGTGGAAATACCTTACTCAAACTGCCGTGTCCAGTACCGTAGGACGCACCGCACGTGATAACTCGGCAAAATAAGATCGCCTTGACCGTCTTGCCGTCAAAATGCGCACGCCGCGCATGAGACGCTGCCAACGAATAGGTATAGGTCGCATATCCACCACCATTTGAGTCGATCAATGACATTACGTCACGAAAAATATATGTTTAGGCCTGTACGGCGGTCTTCACAAACTGACAACCATCCAATCAATAGGTACACATATCACAAATAAGTTACAGCATTCAAAGCTGAAAGCCGAGGACATTCTCACAGACCACCCTGATTCGCTGTAAATGTGGTTTCGCGGCATTCGCATCAGAATCTATTCGATTCAGCGTGACAGAGTTGCGTCGTACCAAGTCAACTAGCAAGGAAACTGATAGCATGTGACACGCCTACTTACATTCCCTTGCCTTTCATTGCCGCTGATACAACCACGTCTAAGTGCAATATCATTGAAGGCTCTAATTCAGGGCCTCGCCAATCAACGCTGATCAAATTTCTCGCCGCTTCTCTACAAATTTGACAGGGGCGGAAAATTCCTGGCGAAGTTCAGAAGCGCTGATAAGCAGTTATTCGAGGAAGTTACCGAGCAGAACCTTCCAATGAGGACTTGACATCCGGAAATCTGTTGGTCATTCTGGTTTTTAGAACAATGTTAGCAGAAATGTGTCCCTTGACTCCTGGAGTTCTAGGGAAGCAATGCGGGCAGAGGGTTTATGGCCTGAACACCCGTGTCATGGGATCTGTCTAGGGTATTCTGAAACGCTGGAATAAGGCAAACAGAAGGTTAACATGGATATGAATGGACAAGTAGCAGTCTCAAAGACCGCATCGACATCATCACTACCCAAGTAAGTAGCAGTAGATTTAAGAGTTCTGTTAAAAGAGCAACCAATTGTCGCGTACAACACTCAAACATTTCGACAGAAGCATGTACACTTCTAGCACAAAGCATTGTTACAAGAGCCAAAAACGAAGAAAATTTGATAATAAAAGGGTGGGAGAGTGCAAGGAGAATTTCAGGAGAGTATGACGTATGACGAAAAATGAATTTTACAGTAGAACCAAGAAAGGATTCGAGTTGAAGTGTTGTCCAAACAGGGAAAACTCGATTTAATCAAGAACCGATTCAGCAACGTCCTATATCCATGAGAAGAACTTGATTTGGTCAGGTTCTGTATGGCTTTAAACGGTCACAATGAGACGTTTTTAAAGAAATCTCGGTCTCATCTGAGTGACGTAAAAACCAAGGTAATAAAACGAGTGGAAAACGGAACCACTGACAATTATCGGCTATGAAATGTGAAGAAAAATTGTTCAAAAAGAGACGAGAAAAGAGAGAGACGGGAAATTGTGGAAATGAAAAAAAAGAAATCGGTTGATAGATCTTGAGAGACCGCCTATTGCAGCTTTATGACTCACGGCTTGTTTTATCTGGCTCGATCACATGTGTCTCATCAATCAAGCCAATCTCTACGGGAACGGCTAAAAGGGATAGATTTCGTAATACAGAAGGGGACGGCCAAATGCCCCAAGGCAGAGATAGCGCTCATGACCACTTAAATTTATTGATAATCCGAAGGAGGAACTTGTTCTCAAACTTCTGTCGATGAGAAAAGCCTTCACAAAAATTTTTGTGGGATCCTTCCAATAATAATGTCCTGCCATTATTACTGTCTGCGGAAGACAGCTATCAAACTTCACATCCCTGAGACACGGTAGGCGTGGCTGCGTACTTCATTTGAACATGACCGACAACGGTTTCTAGGATTGAGTTAGAGACAGCTGTCATCTTGTACTGGACAAAGACTTGATTGCCGTCGTCCAAAGATGGAGAATTCCGTCAGAAGCGCGCTTGCCACATTCAGATGAAGTACGTAGCGTCATCTAACTGAGGGATTTATAGTACACATACAGTGATCTTGCCTCCATACGAATGGCCAAGGAACAAAAGCAGGGCAGCGTTACTGCATTCACGGTACATAATGGTTACGTGACATCTTGAACTTTTGTGCGTGGTCCTGTTACGAAACCCTGTGACGCAGACGGATAGAGGGCAGCGGCTGCCAAAGCATCGAAACGTGCAAAAAACGTATGGCGAGCCAGGAAACGAAATTTTTTAAGGGGAGGGGACTGTCGTTGAAAAGCTGGAGTGAGCGAAGTCACAACGGCCATAGAGTGCCATGCGGACGAGAGAGTGCAGAGAAAAAGAGAAGATCGACGCGTTTAAAGGGATTGAGTTCAAGTTGTCCGTAGACCGTACAGAATCGCATTACGGAACCTCGTAGGTAGGTCGTTATCGATCATATAGGGAGGGTCAGATGAGCTTCTAGCAAAGTTTCTACAGTTGCTGATTTTTCCGTTTCTCGCGTTATAC